CCCTCTGCCTCTCAGCTCCAGATAGGTCTTCTTGATCATTGAATTCATCAGGATACACAGTTGCAGTAGTCTGAAGGCCCGGCCTTAGATATTTGAATACTTTGTTTCTAGTTGGGAAGGATTAGAAAGTTGGGCTTTATTCCAGGTCTGTCACTGGGGTGGTAGAGGCAGGCTCAGAGGCTTAAAAAACATGCAATTTCTAGCACTCTCTGCCTTGTGGCTGTGGACCAAGATGTGAGCTCTCAGCTGTTTTTCCACTCTGCCATCATGGACTTTAACCCTCTAAAACCATAAGCCAAATTAAACACTTAAAAAAAAATAAGTTGCCTTGGTCTTGGTGCTTTATCTCAGCAACAGAAAAGCAACTAAGACAGTAGGTATGGAGGTTTGAATATTGAGTGCTCCCTATAGGCTCAGGCAGCCGAGTAGTTGGTCCCCTGCTTGCTGTTTGGGGAGGTTCTGCCATGTTGGAGAAAGTGCATCACTGGGGAGAGGGTGAGAGTTCTGTAGTCTCAGCCCACTTCCTGTTTGCTCTCTGCTCTCGGCTCCTGTTCCTACTATGTGCTGTCACACCTCCAGCCACAACGGACTCTTGTCCCTCTGGACTGCAAGCCAAAGTAGACTCCTCCTTCCATAGGTGGCTTTTGGTCATGGTGTTTTATCATAGAACAGAGGAGCCGCTAGCACAGACATGGGCACCAGAGAGTGGACCGCTGCTGTGATGCACCAGACCATGCTGTGTCGGGGGAGGGGACGGTTATGGAAGCCTTGGTTTAGAAAAACCATTGAGTGCTTTGAGCTTAATGGGTAGTCCTGTGTGAGCTCGGAAGACAAGTCAGTTCCTGCCTCTAGGTTCCTGTTTGAGTTCCTGCCCTGGCTTCCCTCAGGGGCATGCTGTGATTTATACGCCAAACAAATCCTTTCCTCCGCAGGCTGCTTTTGGTCGTGGTGTTTATCACACCAAATTAGAACCGCAAGCTGGGCTTCTGCAATCCATAGGGTCACAATCTCTCGGTGTAAGAAAAGTATAGTGACTGTCTTGCTGGAAAGATGCTGTGATTGGCTTGGCCTTCCGTTTTGTAGCTTCTTCTTAGGCTGTGATCAATACTCGGACAAAAGCAACATAGGGAGGAAGAGCCTCATTGGGCTCAGCTCAGGGTGCAATCCGTCACTGTGCGTAAGTCACAGAGGAGGAGCAGTCGAGAAGAGAGGGCTGAGTGTGTGCTTGGCTCGCTCTCTCCATGTGTACAGTCAGAATCTCCTGGCCAGCCAATGGTCCCATCTGCAGTTAAGATGGCTCTTTCCACATCAGCCAACATGCTCAAGAGAACCCTCCATAGACACGCTCAGGAACATAGCTCCAGGAGAGTCCAGATTCTGTCAGGCCGGCAGTCAACGCCACCACTCACAGCCTCAGACAGCTAGAAAATGCTTCTGCCTGGAAATTTCACCTATTACTTTGAGTCTGGCTTTATTGGAGACAGATAGACAGCCCCTCCTGAACAAGCTGCAAAGTGTGGTACCAGCTGGGAAGGAAGGGCTGGCCAGGTCACGAGAGTCATAGCTGTTCCCACTGCCACACTACAATGGCGTCACCTCGTCAGCTAATCTTAGACTGGGGGTGTCCAAAGAGACAGCTAAACTGCAAAGTCCTGGAACTCAAGGTGTGCTGAGTGGCAGAGGACACTAGTCTCCAGAGGTGAGTCATGGCTACCTTGGTGGCTTATGCTGCCTGGCTGTGTGTCAACCTTTCCCGAATTCTAAAAACCCTCAAAGCAGAAGCTGTGGAGGGCTTCTGCTTGCTGGCTCCCTCAGGCTCCAGATAGCTTTCCTGTATACCCCAGAAATTTCTGCCCAAGGATGGTGACGCCCACAGTGGGCTGGACCCTCCTGAATCAGTTTATAATCAAAACAGGCTTCCCTAACACACGCTCACAGGACAGTCTGGTCTAGGCAGTTCTTTGATTGAGGCGTTTCTTCTCAAGTTGACCCTAGGCTGTGTTAAATGACAGTCAAGCAGAGCAAATAAAGCCAGGGCAGACACCACACTAGGCTTTAACACTACCTCCCCCTCCCCACACCCAAACAGGGTTTCTCTGTAGAGCCCTGGCTGTCCTGGAACTCTCTTTCTGCTGGAAGTCTGCCTAATTTATTAGACTTTCAGAAAACCATTATTTTTATCTTTTCCCTTATTTATTAGATTCTGCACTTTATCTTTATCGATTTCCCCCTCCCTTCCCAGCTCTCTTTTGCTGCGCCCCCCCCCCCCGCCCCCAGTCTTCAGCTGGAGCTTCATCTACTGATTCTTGTCCTTTTCTCTCAGACACAAATTCCTAGCCTGCATCTGTGGGTTCCCTGGTCCTACCACGGCAGTCATCTTCCTGTCCCATCCACACGTGGCATTTTGAAGAGTTACTTTTCCAAGCCGTTTGTCACGGGTTTTGTGCTTAGTTATTTACGAAAGTGGTTGTTAATTTTCAAATGGTTGGCTTTTTAATTTAAACCTTTCTTAATAATCGCTAACCCTGATTGCACTTTGGTCAGAGATGAGGTTTTTTCCTTGGTTGGCTTTTGGAATTCTATTGGATTTTTTTTTCTTTATGGCTTAATATATGATCAATTTTCATAAATGTTTGATGGGCTCTGGCAAAGAAATGAGTCTTTTATTCGTAGGGTACAAAGTTCAATTATTAAATCAACCTTATTAATTATATTCCAATTCTATACAAACTGGGGAGGGTAGCTATTATTTAAATATGTCAAAGATAAGGGCTGTCAAGATGGCTCATCAGATAAAAGCACCTGTGGCCAAGCCTGAGGATGGGAGTTTGATCCCCAGGGTCTATGTAATAGGAGAGAATCGGCTCTGTAAAGCTGTCCCTGAACATGCACACACACGTTTGCATGCACACATACACACACATGTGCATGTACACACATGCACAGTAGATAAATATATTCATAATAAAAGAAGTTCTTGGCTTTTGTTTCCTTGCTTGCTTTTGGGGTTTTTGTTTTTGTTTTACAGTTTTAGTTTTTCGAGACACGACAAGATTTCTCTGTGTGACAGTCCTGATTGTCCTGGAACTCGCTCTGTAGACCAGGCTGGCCTCGAACTCACAGAGATCCACTTACCTTACCTCTGTCTCCTGAGCTGGGATTAAAGGCCTGCACCATCATGCCAAGCTTTTCTATTTGTTTGTTTTTTTGTTTGTTTGTTTGTTTAATCTTTTAAATAGGGTTTCACTGCATAGCCCTGGCTGTACTGGAACTTGCTATGTAGACCAGGCTGTCCTCAAACTCATAGAGATCATCCTGCTTCTGCTTCTGAAATGCTGGGATTAAAGGCATGTGCAACAATACCCCGCTTATAGCTGGATTTTCATTTTAGTTTCTGTTTTACACAATCGAAGAACTTTTGCTGCTTTACCCCAAAATGTAACACATTTATGTAGTATTCCCCCATGTAATATTTTTAGCCATTACATTTTTCTTTAACAGTGTCATCCACGTATACAATGTATACAGACTCCCCCCATGCCCACCCTCACCCATCTCCCCACCAAAGTCTCAAACACATTCATGTCTACTGTTTGGTGACCCAGAGAGTTTAACCAGGGCCATATGTGTGTGACCATTTGGAGCCTGGTGGGCTCAGCAGCAGGGTTCACCACCAAAACCAATGACTCCCCTTCCCCCAAAATCTACCAATGGCCAATGGTCCAGCAGTTAGAGGTAGGCCCCTCCTGTGAGCTCCAGCAGCAACTGATGGGCGCCAGCCCAGTCTTGCGCAAGCCCAGTGCAGGGACTATAGTCGCTGGGAGTTCCGAGTTCAATGTCTGGAAGACATCTGGTTTTGGTGGCCCTCACCTTGGCTTATGGCTTTTACAATTTTAGCATCAAAGCAAGTATTAGCTGTTTCTTCCAGGAGGGAGCTGGCACTCTCTTCTTCCCGATCCCCTCTCTCGTCTCCGTCCCCCATCTTCCAGCATTCTGTTTCAGATGCCCCCTTAGTTGCTGGTCACTAGATGCTCTTGCATTGCAGGCTGTTCGCATCGGCAGCTGTCTGGTCTGAAGAGAACTCAGTTCTGGGCTTCCAATCCTCATCTACTTTAATATGATTTAAACCTTTAAATCAGGGCTGGAGCCATGGCTCAGTGGGGTAAAAGCACTGGCTGCTCTTCCAGAGGACCACGGTTTAGTAATTTGGCAAGCAGGCTTGCTTTTCGTCCTGCCCGGCTCCCACATAGCTAGTTTAGCCCCAGAAATAATAACACAGAAACTGTATTCTTTTTTTTTTTTTTTTTTCATTTTCGAGACAGGGTTTCTCCGTAACTTTTGGTTCCTGTCCTTGAACTAGCTCTTTTAGACCAGGCTGGTTTTTAACTCACAGAGATCTTCCTTCCTTTGCCTCCCGAGTGCTGGGATTAAAGGCGTGCGCCACCACCTCCAGGTAGAAACTGTATTCTTTTAAACACTGCCTGGCCCATTATATCTAGCCTCTTTCTGGCTAACTCTCACATCTTGATTAACCCATTTCTAATATTCTGTGTATCACCACGAGGTGGTGGCTTACCAGGGAAGATTCAGCATGTCTGACCTTGTGGCTAGCCCCATGGCATCTGCCTCACTGCCTTCTTCCTCCCGGAATTCAGTTTGTCTACTCCGCCTATCTAAGCTGCTGTCCTATCAAAAGCCGAGGCAGTTTCTTTGTTAACCAATAAAAGTAACACATAGACAGATGACCCACCTACATCACCACGGTTCAATTCCCAGCACCCACATGACAGCTCACAACTGTAACTCCAGTTCTAGGGGATCCAACTCTCTCCCACAGACATGCATGCAGGCAAAACACCAATTCATGTAAAACAAAAATAAACAAACCTTTAAATCTAGATGGAAAAGCTCTTTTCATTTTATTTTGCTTTTGCTTCCTTGTGTTGTATTTTGTGACAGAATCCCCACCCCCTCCCCCATGTCACCTAACCTTCCTCCAAGTCCTTGGCTCAATTGACCCTCCTGTCTCAGCCTCCTGAGAGACTGGAATTCCAGGCTGTGCCACCTTGCCTGGCTAAATTCTTATATTTTGCATTTTATGCTAAAGACCATTTAAGAACATTTTGACATTTTATTCCCTCTGGAGATGTTGTTTGCCATCATTTATGCTTTGTGTTTTCATACTGGCTGTGGTGCTGGTGCATTTTGTATCCACAGCTGATGGGAGCGTCCATTCCTCAGAGAGCGCCTGTGTTTTCCCCAGGCCTCACAATCAGGGCTTTCTGCCACCGAGCCGTCAGTGTGGCACAATCTAGCCAGCCTGGCGCCTATTTCCTCGCAGGCAAGCAGAGTTCTGATGTTGTAATGAAACACTGGAGGAAACAGTGTAAAGAAGAAAGGTTTATCGGTGTTGGAGGTTAGTCCATGGTCACTCAATTCCCTCTCCGATGCCTGGAGAGGCAAGGCATCCTGGCAAGGAGGATATGACGGAGCAGAATTGCTCACCATGGCAACCAGGAGGCAGGGGGTTAACAGAGATACACATCCCCACTCTCAGTGGCCTGCTTCCCCCAGCCAGGCCCCACCTCCTATCATTTCCTCCACCTGCTAACAGCCCATTAAGCTATGAACCCATCACTGAATTGATCCGCCCATGAGGTCAGAGCCCTCAGGAGGCTGCCGCCCTCCTAGCCCCACCTGTGAACACTGCTGCCTGGGAACCAAGCCCTCCCATGGGACCTTCAGGACACATTTAAGAGCTAGGTCCCAGCAACCCCTTTTCTATCTAAGGTGCATGCAGCAGACTCCTTAGTCACTTAATTCACGAGTTTCTGTTTTATCCAGGAACTAGGAACTTTCTGGCCTGCATATGCAGATCTTTTGGCTTCCATTCATTGTGTGAGAAATGACCTCTTTCTCTGGTCTTGGTGCACTCTGCCCCGTGACTGACCTGCCTCTGCCACACCCCTACCACCAAGATTGCGGAAACCCTCCGGCCTGTGTGTCAGAGCCAGCGGCTTCTTTTCAGTTGCTTCCATCAGAAATGGAGGTCCCAGTGCCAGGGGTCATGAATTCCAGGGTGTAGTAAGGGATAGCAGGCGTTGGCAGAATGACGCTGCTGAGTTTAGCTTTGGGGTGTCCCCAAAGTCCAGGCTTTGAAGGTTTACTTCCTGAGGTGGCCGCAGCAAGAAGTGTTGGACCCTTCAGAGTGGAGACTTAATAGGTCTCTATGCCGTTGTGTAGGGGTAGGGCTGTTGGCCATGGGGTGAGGGTTGGACATCACCCACCACCGCTCCCACTGTAATTCAATGTTGCCTCACCACAGGCCCAGAACGACAGAACCAACCAGGCTCTAAAACTTCATGCCCAAACCTTTTCTCTCTATGAGTTAATAGAGGACGTTCTGTTTTGATGACTGGGAAACTCGGAGGTGCATCTGTACTGTCCCCTCTTGGCTGCTGGTGATCGACAGGAATACCCGACACCTCGGTCTACAGCCCAGAAGCCGCCTCTGCCTGTCTTCACAAGTGTTCTCCTCTTTCCCCTTGTGCCTTGCCTTTCCTCTTTCTTATCAGGACACTTGTCATTGGCTTTTGGGCCAGGTAATAAGGGGCGGCTTCATCTGGGTTTAATGACATCTACAGACACCTTCCCATAATCCCATCTTCTCTTCATTCACAGGTACCAGGAATTTGAAGTTGGACACATCTTTTCCAGGGGCCACCAGCCCATCTCTCTTGATACCCTCTGTCATTCTTACTTCCTCTCTGCTGTCCTGGCCCTGGTCTGCCTAGGCCATGTCTCCCCCAAATGTTTTCCTTAATAAAAGTCGCCTTGGCCATGGTGTCTCTTTGCAGCAATAGAAACCCTAACTGGCAGGGTGTGGTGGTCAGCTTTCGTCATCAGCTAGACACATCTGGAGTCACCTGGGAAGAGTTCCGGTGAGGGTGGGCGGGTGGACATGTCTGTGGGAGTTTTTCTTAATTGTGGAAGTTAGTGCGGGAAGACTCTGCTCACTGTGGGCGGCACCACTCCCCAGATCAGGTGTCCTGAGCTGAATAAAAGCAGAGAAATCAAGTCCGGTGAGGGCGGGCAAGCAAGTAAGCTTGAGTGTTCACCTCTCTGCTCTTGCCTGTGGATGCGAGGTGACCCACTGCTTGAAGTCCCCACTCTGACTCCTTTCTCCCTGAGTTGTGTTCTGTGAGGGTATATAAGCCCAGCCTCAGCAATGACACTACGACCCGTGTGGCCAGGAACATGGGTGTGCCTTTCTTTCTCACCGCCTCAGCTCACGGCTCACTCCACGACTGGCTGCGTTCTGGCTGTACTTTCTGGAACTGCACTGTGCAACCTCCCTCTCTGGGCACCTAAGATCAGGACAGAGCAGAAGCTGTGCGGTCCCTGAGGATGAAGTCCGCAGTACATGTCTGAGAAAGTCAGGGACTTGCCCTAATGGTCCCTTCATTTCAGGGGCTCCCCCCGCCCTGCCCACCAAGGTGTCCTTCCCATGGTGGTAGCCTGGGTTTATCATGACTTCTCCTGTTCATGGCTGAGTCTCCTGGATCCATGGTGGTAGCCTGGGTTTATCATGACTTCTCCTGCTCATGGCTGAGTCTCCTGGATGGGAACCAAATGCCATTTGCTCAGGCGGCAGGGTCTGAGCCAGGCCCAGCTGGGTCTCCCATCTTTTGTTTGCCCAATCCTGTTAATAATTAATGCACAATAATGAGACTTGCCTTCAATAGAATCCACATTGCCTTCTGCCTTCTGTCCCTCAACAAGGGTTTCCCCCAAAAGTGTCTGACTTACTTGACTGTGGTCCTGCCACAGGCACCCTAGACAGGAAGGTCCACTGCCCTGGTCCTTTTCAGCCTCCTCCTCTGACTGGAACTGAGCTCTTCTGTGGCCTCGCCCACCTCTTCCTTCTCCCTGAAGCCCCTCTCTGGGTTTCCTCCAGGTGGTCCTCATGGTGGGAAGAAGCTTGCACTCCCAGCCCAGCAATGTGCTCCATCATATATCACTGGGGCACACGGGTCCTGCTGCTGAGGGATAGCAGACAGGAAGTTGCTGAGCCCCAAGCCTGGGATGGTTACAGCCCCCCCCCCAATTCTGGCATTCTGACAAAAACAGCAACATAAATTAAGGGCCCACCAGGCACAAGTAAAGGCAAAGGGCTAGCTACGCTAGATTTGGAGGGGTCTCATAAGAATGACCCCTCACTTCAGCCTCCCAATGTCTTCTTCATCAGCCAAGAAGTTCTGAGAAGAGTTGTGGGAACTCCACTGATGAAGCTCTTGCTGTCAGCTGCAGGTAAACACCAGCATAGAACCAGCATGTTCTCCAGGCTCATCCACTGCTGAACCCCAGGGGTGCTGCTGTTGAACCGTCAGTAATCAGGATTGCCCTAAGTGTGACAGCATCCACAGAGCGAGCACTTTGGGACTCCTCACATTGCCCCATGTTTGAGAAGCCTGGAGGTAGGGGATTGTGTGGTTCAGGGATGCTGGCGGGAGCAACCGGGTAGCAAGATGCAGGGGTGGTAGGCTCTCGGAATAGGCGAGTATGGGAGCTGCAGGACAGCGGGAACATCGTGCAGCAGAAATAAGACGCCTAGCAGCCTTGGATGGCTGATGACGTAGATTCTCGGAAGTTTCTCTTTAGGGGTCTGGGAGACGGTTGAGTAAGGAACGGAGCTTGCCTTGTGAACTTGATGATCCAAGTTCTAACCCTGAACTTACATAAAGGTGGAAGGAGAGAACCGACTACATAAAGCTGTCTTCTGACCGTCACACATGAGTTCACGCACACGTACTTACACACACACACATACACACACACTCACACACACACACACACTCCACACACAAAAATAAAAAATATATAATACAAAATAAAGTTTCTCTTATGTTGATCTTAACTTCAGAAGTATCCACAATTAACATATATTATTTTTGCAAATGGAGGAAAATGTTACTGTATTATTTATCTATTTATCACAGAGATGGGTAACATGCATCCCAGGCTAATCTTAGATTAAGGCATGCAACACCATGCCTAGATTATGCAGTGCTGGGGTTTGAACCCAGGGCCTCTTGCTTGCTAGGGAAGCACTTTACCAAAGGCTGCTACCTCACTGCATTTAGGAGGCTGAGGCAGGATGACCGTCAAGAGCTGGAGGCTAGTCTGGGCTCCATAGTGAGTTCTGAGCCAGCCCCGGTTAATGTTTTCCTTTCTCTAAAACACAGATGTCAGTGGGCCAGGCTGGCGAGTAGGAAACAGAGCTGTGAACACTGCTGCTATGATGCCCAGACCAGGCACACTTCACCCGGCCCTTACAGCAGCCATGGGTGTGTCGCCGTTCTTCTAGTCAGCAGACAGGAGAGCTGAGGTTCTGAGGCAAGGGACACAGCTGGTGCAGACACAGGTTCGTGTGATGTCAGGGTAGGTGTGCAGAGCACAGTGCCACACCACGGAGGGCCGATGATGAATGGCTCCTAGGGCAGCGTGGTTCCAGAGGAGGAAGGACCAACCTGGGAATCGCGCCAAGCATACACCAGGTGCACCCATCCTTGTCCCCTGCCCCCAGACCTCCGTGCAAACTTGGGTATCGCTCTTCATTCCAGCTGGATAAGTAACCCTGAGACTGTTCCCAGAGTACTCAGGGGAGGCCCAAGTGGAGGGGAGCCTGGGCTGAGAGCTCACCGAACAGATAATCAGCTGATGTGGATGGGGAATATTCTGGGCCACGAAACAGCACACGCACAAGCCCAGCTGTCTGGAAAGGACCTAAGTTCAGCTGGAAATGGAGAGAGAAGGCTGTCAGGGTGAGCGGGAATCAAGGGTGATGAGGGCAGACTTGTTAGGGCTCCCTGCAGACCTAGGAAAGACTAGGTCTGAGCTCCAGACGTGAGAGGGAGAAGGAAAGGGGGGTGGGAGGATGCCATGTCTGGAGAAGTGGAAGATGTGGTAGATAGAGAACCCTTGGCTCAAGACTATGGGAGGTGAGTGGAGAGGAAGCAGGAGGGAGGGGTACTGCAGTGCCAGGGTGGGCGGTGCCGAGGTGGGCGGTGCCAGGGTGGGCGGCGCCGAGGTGGACTGTGCCAAGGTGGGTGGTGTTAGGGTGGGCGGTGCCAGGATGGGCGGTGCCAAGGTGGGCAGTGCCAGGGTGAGCGGTGGCCACCACACACATCGGGAAGGCCTCTGCACGTGAGCAGCTTCCTAGAGCCCCGGGGCCCACTCTAGCCTCACAGTCCCACCAGGCCTCCTTCATCTCACCTGCTGCCTATGCTCTGAACAGGCCCCCGCTCTGGTGGTGCCAAACTCCCCTGCCTGCAGCTCTGGTCTCAAAAACCCCATTTCCCTGGTCCAGACAGGGGCCATTGATTCTGACTCCCACTCCTGGGACTTGCTCTCCCCTGTTCCAAGACAGTGGACATAGCACAACTTGGTGGGAGGAGGGGGGAGGGGAGCAGACTGCAGAGGGGCAGGGAGAGTCTGCCGCATGTTCCTGCTCTCTGGGGAAGGACTGTGCAACCCACCCTTCAGTGTCCATGTAGGCAGCAGTTTCGCTTGCCCCTTTGCCCATGCAGCCACAGCCAGGGCTGTGGATGTGCAGGGGCCTCGAGGCAGAGACCTCTGGACTGGAAGGCTTGGGTCTCCCCATCAAGAGCACTCACTGTCCCCTGTGGAACCTGTCAGAACTTCATGCAACAGAAACTTACAGCATGCCTGTCTTACAGACAAAGAAACGGGGCCCAGAGAAAGTGGTACCCATGCAGGGAACTGGCTATCTTCAGATCTGCCTACCACAAGAAGTAGTTTAGTGGCCAGGCTGTGGTGGTACACACTTTAATCCCAGCACTCAGGAGGCAGAGGCAGGAGGATCTGTGAGTTTGAGGCCAGCCTGGTCTATAGAGAGAGTTCCGAGACAGCGACGGCCGCACCGAAAAACCCTGTCTGGAAATAACCTCCGTAAGTGGCTTAGTGAAGGGCATCTTTCTGGAGGGGCAGCTTTATCATCCTATGTGGGGGAGCCGGACACACGTCCTTGGATGGAGACTGGGTGTGGTCGTGCAGCCAGGCAGCAAGACAGAGTGTCCTCGGTGTCAGCAGAGGAGATGCTAGGAGCTCAGGAAAGGCTAGAGCAGCCAATGAGCCAAGGCAGTCCCAAAGTGGTCTCACTAAGGGACATTGAGGACACCATGTTTGAGAGGCTTGCCACAGCAGTAGGTGTTTGAGGTGGACCTCCCAGGTCCTTGCTGCCTTACTCCTTCAGACAGAGCCTCCTGAACTTGGTTTCTTGAAGGTTTCCCCTTGGAGCCCCTCCCCTTCCTTCCCTCTCTTCTGTTCTTTTCACAGTGACTCCTTATGTAGCCCAGGCTAGCCTTGAACAAGCACCCTCTGCCTCAGCTCCCTGAGTGTGTGTAACACAGGTGCTACAGACAATAATGCTTATGAGAGTCACTGTACTCTCTTAAAATTTTAAAGGTGCTTAGGTAGGAGGGTCACAAGTTCAAGGTCAGCCTGAGCTATACAAGAGAGTTCTGAGCCAACCTGGGCTATATTGTGAGATTCCCCTGTCTCAACCAAAAAGGAAAAGACTCCTGTTGTTTACTTTTGGGTCTTTTATCTTGAGAGGTGATCTCGAGTGGGCCCTGAGCATGTTGTACTGGGAGAACAGGTATGTGTCACCCACAGGCCTCCCTGACTGCCAGCTCTTTTTGGCACAAGTGTTGGGTCCCAAATAGCTGAAGGCCAGGTGCTGCCATCAGGTCTAGGCAAGCAACCCAGGCATCCAAGTTGGACTTGGACCCCCAGCCCTGGAGGGCAAGGAGAGAGAAAGGAGGAATTGCCACCCCACCTCCCCCGACTCCCAGGGGAGTGTGTGGTACCCAAGCACAGGGCTCCCTTCTCAGAGAAGGCTATGAGAGGTGAGCCCTGCCCTGAGTCTGTTGACCAACCGCTCCTCACGCTCCCTGTGAGAGACATCCCCGGTGCCTCAGTTGGTCTCTCGAGCCTTCCTGAGTTTCCACTCCATCTGATGGTGGCTAGCTCCCTGACCAAGGGGTACCATGCTACCTCCTCACAGGGTTCTTCCTCGGACCCTTCTCAGAAAGCCCACTCAGGTCTTGGGAATGACTCACCCTCCCCAGCTCTTATGGCTGCTCAGTCCTTACCGATCCTGACCCAGACAAAAAGTGAGGTCTCTGGGATGCCTGAGGCTGAGAACCGCAAAGGTCAGAAACTGACAGGGAAGAAAGGGGAGAAGGAGGGACATACACAAAGACGGGTTCGCGGGAGCATGATGCCCGGAAGCAGCGAGAAATGGGGGTTAGAGAAGAGGAGTTTGTGGTACACCCCCCAAATGGGGTGGGGTGGGTATGGTACCCCAAATGGGGTGGGGGTGGGCATGGTAACTGGTCAGAGAGACCTGTGGAAAGAGGACAGAGTGTGAGAAAGGAGAAAGATAGGCAGAGATGGGGGCAGGGGAGGGCAGGCCCAGACCTGGAGGAAAGCCAGAGAAATTGAGGGGTAGGGAAGGGGACTGCCCCCTCCCCAACCGACAAGGGCTAGCAGGGGGATTAGGAGGGGGGAACTTGCGAAAATAAATATTTATAAATGCAGTTTCTAAATTCTTTTTGCATTTTCCTGGTAAATTATTCATCTGTGTGTCTCTCGCTCCCCTATCTGCTAGAGGAGCTGGGGGGGTCTTTCCTGCGCGCCTCCTTTCCACCTGCCTCCGTATGCTCCTCCCCACGCCTCTCATCCTCTTCCTCACTTTCTCCATCCTCCCCTCCAGCTCCTCCTCCCCTTTCCAGCCTCCAGCTTCCGGTCTCCTCCGCAGGTCGGCAGATGAGGAGGGGCCGCCACCCCGAGGTGACCAGCTGCCACGCTCTGGATTTCTTCCCTGCCTTAAAGAAGAATAATCATAAGTCAGCGAGAAGAGGATTTAAAAAAACACAGCTGTCGTCGCGGCAGTCTGGCACCCCCAACCGGGACCGCGGGAATCTTCCTCTGGAGGCCAAGATGCTGGGGCCGGCGA